TTCATAAATGTTTTTTTGTGGACTGTAATGTTTATAACATTCATTTCCATCAACATAACTCTATCATTCTCATCCCAATTTTTAAAACATTCTCTCAGCTTTCTTTCACTATAGTTTTATAACAATCAATTTTATTTTATTTTTAACTCTATTCACTTTGCTGGAGGCTTCTTCACACATTTCCAAAACATTTTTTCTAAACTCCATCAAATTAATTCTGTACTGTGTTTGCCTCTTCTAATCTTTCCCTCTCATCTACGGCCTCTTTTATTTCAATATTCCAGAAAAATAATAATCTTTCCTACTTCCCATAACATACCTCCACATACTTGTGTGGCACTCTAATATGATTCTTTTCATTCTGTTTGAAGTAGTTTTTACATCCTTCTGTCTTATGTCCACTCTCTGAATTAATTTCTGTTCAGCCATTAATCTATCTTGTAATACTGTTATGTAAAGAAATTGTGCTTTTACCTCCTAGAGCTCTTCTTTTATTCTAATTTCTTTCCCTTTTTTCCTTTTCTTCCATATCTATTTTTCCCCAAGATTTACTCTTGGCACTAAGGTATATATATTCTGTCACAGATTTAGAACCTCTCATCTCCTTTGTAAACTTTACTAATTTTCTAAATAGGCTTTCATTGATGATCAAATCAACCAAACTTTGAAATATACAGTAATTCTTCTGCCACGATTTATGATTAAATAGACTGATTGTAGGCGTAAACCACATATTTAAAACAGGCTTTTGAAAACAATACCAATCACCATTCTTTTTCATTTGTGGGTTTCCAAACGATCCAGTCGCTTTTCCTATACTCCCTTGTCACCCATTCAAGTCAGCAGAATAAATTTTCCCTTAATCTGCTCATTCAAAACTCATTTTGGGTTGAAAGTAGGATCAATAGTTCACTTGTACACAACACAATTATCTATATGACAGCAATTAATACTTTCTGGCATACATTTTAACCTTTTGATTCATCATTCATAATTAAACCTACATATTCTTGTCCCTGCATATATTTATCAATTCTACTCCATAAGATCAGTAAACCTTCCTTTGGAACTATTGCATGCTATTTTTTCTCTTAATTTTACAAATAACATATCTGCTTTTCTTCTTTTAATTAATTCATACTGTATGCTATTTATTAGTGGTATCTATAGTTGAAGAGTCAAAGAAGTCAAGACAGTGGTCATGGCATTATGATCGATGCTCCTTTGTATATATGTACAACATTGATACATGTACAAAAGGAACAAGGCTTCAACTGCATTGCTACAAGCCACTGTCTTGACTCCATTTATTCTTGCCATTTATTCTGTTTATATTTCAAATCACAGTTTTCCTCATGTCATAGATGTTAGATGATGATGATGATGACAGCCCCATAGTTGTTAACCTCTGCTGCCCCTAATGGCTTTGGTCAATCACATTTTTCACAGAATCCCTTTGAGGAAAAGAGAAAAAAACAAACATTGGGTAACTAAGCCTTAGTTGTACCCATGCCATATATAGGACATCCTGCTAACAGTAAAAAAAAAAAGGTACCTAATTTTAGCACATTTTGCTCAGTATGCCAGAAGTGCAATCAAAATCCACTTTTGCCCCAATCATGCTTATTTTATCTTATGCAAGGTAGGATTTTTAATCTAGAGATTATTCTGCAAATTAACATATCTACATCTCACTAACTCACCATCAGTATGTTACCTATAGTTCCTTGTTGGTAAGATATATGCTAGCTTGCAAGATAGAGTCTAAATTAGAGATCCTACTTTGAATGCACAGGATGCAGCCCTTACATTGGATGCAGATAAATGAAGGATTGAGTGAGTGAATGAATGAAACTATTTTGATTTGATATGGTGGAGCTTCTTAGAGATATGTTTATATTCATGGGAATCTCAAAAATGTTTATTTGTGAGGTCATTTGTCATTATTGTTATGCCATATGCCTGAGTACAAAAATAGTATCTCTTCTCTTAGTTGTCATGCTGGGTTGATTCAATGTAGATTGAAGCTGAACTTAAGGAAGGCCTGCTACATTTCTGACCAAGTGTTGTTGCTGCGCAAGACTATCTATATAATAGGTTATATCAAGCTTCAACCATGGACCCCCCCTTTTTTTAGTTATGGTGCAGGAATATGTGGAATGACAATAATTCAGATTTTCAGATAAATCCATCAAAACTGCTAGTTTGCAAAAGATTTATTGTCTACCCCGGCCATAGATGACAATACCTTTGCAATCTGAGCACCTCTGAGCCTTCTACTTCAAGAGTAACATTGTCACTGATAGTAAAAGATGTTTCACTGTCCATGCCATAATGCATACAAATGGGATGGAAGCCCCCCTCCCCCAAGTACTTAACAGACTTAAAAAAACACAAGGAACCACTTAACCCCCTCCAAACCCTGGACAAATGTAAAATCTAGTCCCATCTACAGCACATCCCTGGCTCTTTTGCATCACTGCCTCCAACAATGAGTTCTCCCTTTGTTCCCTTAATACTTAATATTAAGTATATCCCTATTTAACAGATTACATTACATGAGGGGAAGGAAGTCTTGTGGAACTCCAAGCTGTGAGATACATTTAAAGCACAGCTGAGATATAGATTGCTTTAGAGGTATTTTCTCTTTTGTTTCCAAAGGTGTTGTTGTTCCAATTGTTGCTATCTAGGTGCTAAAGGAGCTAGGCTGGGCTGGGAATGAGAGAGTAGCCACAATTAGCTGATGAGATTCATCAGATATTTTTTAAGCTGAAGGTTCTTCAGTCGGAAAACTGGGATATTTTATAGCTTTTTGATATACTGAATATCAATTTTGTTATATTTAATTCTCATCTGTCCCCTAATGCATAAGGAAATTGGCCACTGTTTCTGAGTATCTGACGTTTTTCATTGTTTTATTTAACTTAAGTAAATATTTCCTTTAATTAAATATTTTCATTTTTGAATATCCTGGAGATATATTGAATCAAAAATGGTACATTTATTTGACAGAGTTTTAATTAATCTTGGTAGAAGAGTAATTAATAACAGTGAACCTTTCTGAGTTTGGCTGGCAGAGACTATCAATGTAAGATGGAAAAATACTCAGTTGAAGAGCCTGAACATAAGGCTTGTACTACCTATGATTCATTTGGGGCTGGATAATTCTACTGATTTTGCTGTCTGCTCATGGCTGAGAAAAATAACTGTCATCAAGCCTCAGGCAGGTCACAAAGCTTTTTTTTTTAATTTTTGTGCCTCCCCAGTGGAAAGAAAGAATGAATGCAATATGATTTGATAAAGAGATTTGATAGACTTGACAGCCAGACATCGTTGAAAAGCAACATGAGGGGTCCCTAACACAGAAGTGCCGTACAACATGGTGGTAAAGCATATGCTTGGCCTGCAGAAGACCCCAGGCTCAATTCCTTTTACCCTCAAGTAAGGATGAATCTCAATGGTTTCCTTGGACAATCCACATCGAAATGATTAGCTGGTAGTGGCACCCACAGGGGATGATAGGATCAACATTGGTAAAGAGTACAGAAAGAACATTATGAAGCAAGCCTGCTCCCTTTGTATGCAAGTCATTGCACAAACATTCCAAGGGAGTGGAGCTTGCATTATGATGCTCAATTAGCCATCTCACCGATTTTGACCTCCAGCAGTTCAGCTGTTGATTAGTTTTGTGTAAACTGGTTAGGCATTTAACCCATTTCTTACCTACATCCCATATACAAAGTCCTACATTTATCATAAGGACAGATTTCACACAACACTCAGATGTCCCCAAACTCTTTAGCTTATTCATCCCTTCATGAAATGACAGATTGTTCATCAATCCCAAACATTTACTGTATGAAAATAATTCAATAAGTACTACTTTAACTAAAAGTACTACAAGCAAAGACTATAACAACAATAATAGAGACAACTCAGAGCCACTCTTGCTGGTGGCTGACAATCCAATCCTGGGTAACGTTGCCTCACCACTACCCAGGCCCCACCTTCAGAATTAAGGTTTGGTGTGGAGCTCTACAAATACCTCCTCAAATTAATTGACCCCAACAGAGCATCCATTATTTAACAACCACTGAATGACTCCCCAAATATTTACTGAATCCCATTTGACTCCCTGCCATTTACTGACCCTTTGGATAATCCCATTGACCCTTTAGGGGTCTCTGCTTTAAGTCATTAAAGTGAAAACAACCAACATGAGCATTGGTGCAAACATAGACAATAAATTGTTGGTTAATCCGCTTGAGAATGTTATTCAAACTCAGCCATTAAGTGCATGAAAAGACAATTCTCTGGGTTTAATGAATAGCAATTTGTGTATATATACTGAATCTTCAATATATACACTGGGGAGTATCCAAGTTATGCTGCTGATCCTCCTATTTATTTCTAATTTTTCTGTATTGTGTTTTTGTTATCACCAGACACATTCCATTAAAATGTGGTGTCTTTGACAGGCATTTATTCATACATTTGTTTGTTAGATTTCTCCTGCCTTTCTTCTAATAATCCAAGATAACAGTTCACGAATTTCTCTATAGAACAGGAATGCAGGGGTTGATCTAAATTCACCTAGCATTTTTTATGGGTGAGGATGGATTTAAACTTGACTCTCCTCATTTCTTTTCCAACATCTTCACAACGACACTACACGAATGTTCTGCTTGCTGGTTATTTCAACACACAAGTTGTCACTTAATATTCATGGAGAAAATCAAGCTATGTGTTTGTTAGAGGTCAAAAAATTGTGGGCAATTCTCTGTCTCTTTCTCCCCCACTCTACATATCTATCTATCTATCATCTATCTATCTCATTATGGAAGAGGCTAGTGTCAAATCCTAGTGCTTTTTCCCCTCATTAACATTATTTTTCAGATAAATTTCTACAGCAGTATTTCTTTTATTTTTAAATATTGTCTGTCTGTTTATTTTATCTAATCTATCTATCTACCCATCTATCTAAAGCACATTTGGTTCCCCTAAATTTCCTTCTGAGGGTGATCCACTAGGAAAGTCACATTCAAAGAAATCATATTTTCCAAATCAAACAAATATGTAAGTATGTTTCTGTACCAAACATCCTCTGCATCTTCATCGCACTCTGCCCCAAACTGACAAATGTCACAGGTGGATGTTTCCTTTTGAATGGTTTCTCCCGAACCTTCACTCCCTATGAAAGAAAGACAGAAGTCAAGAAAAAAATGCTCATGCCTTTCAAAAGGGCACAAAATCATCATTCATATTCATCTTTGAGGATACATAAAGTTTTGTAAACACAAATGACAACAGCCATTTCCATGTTTAGCTGCAACCTCTGACTGTGTAATGGAGTAGACTGGGCAAAGAGATTCAAATTTGAAAAGCAAAAAAAAAAAAAATCGAATTAATGTTGATTTTCCTGCAACATCTATACACAAGTCCAGAAAAAGACTAATAGGTACTACATGCACGGCCATCCAAGGTGTGTATCACATTTTGACCTTTAGATTCAGATCTCTCCATAATCTTAATTTTCAGTATTTGGGTTATACTAATTCAGGCACCTCTGTACACAGCTGGTAATCTAGCTTTCAAAAGTTACCAAGGTAGAGGAGATAACCTTGAAGAACAGAACACCAGCTAAGTCTTGAAAAGAAGATGGAGAGGAGGAATGAGGAAGGAACTGATTCTCTTGAGTATAAAAGGAGAGAAAGAGAAGCTTTCAAGATTGGTTATTATACCCTGCAACAAAAGAGTTCCAGTAGACTCATGAACCTGGCATATCTCATAGGGCTGGCTAACCTATAGAGAAATGCTACATATAGAAGCAAAGAAGAGTAAACATTTGGTCGATGATGAATGACCTTTCAGCACATTCCATCAAGGTACTGGTAGCTTTGTGTTTTACACTTAATGAAAGCTGATCTGGATCTTCTCAAGATGCAAAAGGACAGGGATGCTGGTGAGCCACTTGGAGTTTTTGGACTAGACCAGTACAGAAGTATCAGTGATACATAAAAACAAAATAAAGCACACACCTTGGTGCTGCATGTGGGTTTTCCCTGGCTCATACACATATTCCTACTTATATCTAGATACTGGTCTAGTATCAATACTAGACTACTTAAAGTAGCATCAATCCTGAGTCTTAAGGTGATGCTCACCCTTTTTCTCTTTTGAGGCTGTTTTCTCTTTCCAGATGCCCTCAGCAATTTTTAGATAAAAGAAAAGATGAGAAATGGCTCTTAAGTCTGATGTTGTACTTCTAAAATTAGGGGAAAACCCATGGGATGCTTGCAAGATATTCATGTATTGTTTATGATAAATTCAATTGCATTGTTTAATTTTTGAGGTATAACTTCATTTTAGTTTGCTCATAAATGCTGCCCAGAATTGGCCAGATGGAGATGGTTTATAAATGATACGATGTAAAGCAACAAACAAAGAGATCCTTTGAGTTCTGGCTAAACTGTGACATTATTTATCAGCAGGGAACAGTTCCAATAGAGTTGAACCAGATCCCTAAAGGAGGGTCCATCAACAGTCCTAATATCTGCAGACACCTCCTGTGGTGTATTGATATTTTAACATTTTTTTCAAGAACTTAATGTTCAAAATATTTTAAATATATACTTAATTTTAAATATTTTTTTAAAATATTTTCATTGCCTGCTCATACCTTGCTTCCAAAAATACATTTGGCATTCAGTGTTCTTTTCTGATTAACATGTACATTTGATCTGGCTCAACTTTAATAACCAGTCTGCCTTCTCTGAAATTGGTATGTTGCTGTATACTGTGAGAACAAGAATGTGATTTGGCATTTTGGTCTCAAATCTCATTCTGTGTTCTACTCTGTCTCCTAGCAATGATTAGTTTTTGAACCTAAATCACTTGTCCTTCTATACTAAATTTGGGTTCAAAAGAGATTTTTGTAGTTTGGAACCCAATAGCCCCCTCTGGCTTCCTGGTAAAGCCACTTTTCTTTTGGTCTCACCAGTTCAATTGAGAAATAGCCACAGCCACCATGGGAGCCATTTAGTCAAAAGAGCCACAACTTTGTCTCCAAAGTCCAAATGCTCCAGCAGCCTCCCAGAGCTAGGGATTCTTGGAACACTAACAAATACTGTTGAGTTTCACTTGCTAATAGTTGCTATGAGCTCAGTAGGGACTGCAGCAAACCTTGGACCAGTTGCAAAATAATTTTGGAAACTTTATTTGCATTCTTTCTCTCTTTTTTTTTATCAAAAGAAACATCTGTATCCATATATGAGTTTTAGCTGTACAAAAAAGAAAAGGCACGCCGTTTACTTTATGTTGATATTCTTAGATCAGAAGCATTTTGTGATTTATTCACTTTTATTTTTAAAATTATGAAAATAGAAATGGATTATAATCCCCCGCACCTGGTTCATTTTCATTGAATTACCAAACTTGATCATGATGTATAAACATTGTAACAGTAAAACATCTTAATTCCAATCAAATCCCAAAAGGGGGCACAAAAAAAGCAATTACTTGGTGGTTTTGTGGCATTAAAAGCCATTCCCCCTTTGATCCAGAAGAGGAATCCCTTATTTTTAGGGAAATCTCAGAGGCCAGATCTAGTTCTGAGGCTTCTAGTTGAAAACATCATGGCATAAGCATACTGGCATCTTTTCCTACACAACAGGACAAAGATGCTGCTCTTTCAGTGTGATAATGCCTGTTATGGCTTGATCTGGGCTGTGAAACTGTTTACCTACATTCAATTTACAGTACGCTGCCTTTTTCTGTATGTATGAATGGAAACAGTTAAATGTTTGAATGGAAACAGTTAAAATGTTGTTTAAAAATGTTATTTTGGACTTCGTTTTCTAAGCAAAGTCCATTGTTTCTGAAGTCATATAGACAACTAAGGCAATTTATATAATCTGTGCCAATTATATCATTTGAGCAATTATGCAAATGACAATTTTACTCCATTTTTGCCCATTTACATAATTTGTGTCATTATGCAATCTGCAAATGGCAGAAATTGACTCACAAATTATCTAAAAACTTCAATTATATATTTATGCAAATAACAGAATTTATTTGGGATTTAACAGGTATTCAGATTTAACAAATAACCTTTTCCCCAAACAATCTGTTACATCACAGTTTTATTCCATTATTTAAAGGACCATTTTGCAGTGTTCTTCATTTTTCTCAAAGTTCTGCAGTAAGTGTCTAATCCATTATATTAATATTATGTCCATCACAACCATCATGTGAATTATGTCCAAACAGTATAAGACAATTGAGATGACGTATAAGCCAGGGCCTTTCCTCTATTAGCATCCTGATTATGAAATACTGATTCAAAGAAAGAGAGACTTGCCCATAATGTGGACAAAATCTTTCTTTTGTTTATAAAGACCTCATTGCAGCATTGCTCCAAGTTGATTATTTGGGTAATATATGTTACACAGACACATAGACACAATTGTAAATATATACAAGTGCTCAGTTATTCAGGGAAGCAATAAAAATGCTTCAACAAATAATGAAAATACAATCTGCTAACAAAACATTGGCGAAACCGTTGAATTCTTGAAAAATATGTATAGGTACTCTGTACAAGTTAATATGCTTGGGCAAAGAGAAATGTTTTAATCTTGGCAAGAATATTTGCAGAGGCAGATTCTAAAGAAAGGGTATTCCCCTGTCAGAGGATTCACCCAACCCCTCAGCCTCCAAGGAAGCCCTTAAAAGGGGGGGCTCTAACAGACATCTTAATGCAGAGATAAGGCCGTTCAGTACAGCAAGAACTGGTCTTCCCTATCAAATTATGAGATAAAACGGTATGTCAGAGTCTTGAAATTTCTGCGTCAAAATTGAGAGACATTCTCCCCCACTCCCAAGATTAAATGCAGTCCTTGGTCATCAAAACATTATCAATTTTTGCCTTTGTATACGTGTCAGAAAGTGTATAAAGAAACTCCAATATTTTATTGTTGTTCAAAAAAGAAAAAAATTCTTACACATTTATCTTGCAATGTATTTTCATCTAACTTTCTTTTGCTCCCCTTAATATATCCACTTTAATGTTAGCAAGTAGGTTTTCATCACTAATTTTAAGCACATTCTTAAGAATGGCAGAATTCAGATTGGCATTCAAAGCACTTGGGATCCCTGATGTGGTTTGAATACTAAACAGACACTGTGGAAACAAATATGTTAAATATATAAGTGAAGCATTTCTCCTCATTTTTTTTTATCAGAAATGACCAGTTTGTTTCATTTTAAGTTCCTATTAGTGATTGAAGATACAAGCCTGACCAAAGAGATCTATTCAGCTGACTCTGTGGCATTAAATAAAAATAAGACCCTTTATAGTGTTATTTATTTATTTTTCCCTGTCATTGATCTGTACAATACTGCCTGATGATAAAATCTTTTTAAAGTGAATTCTTCCTGTCTCCCCCACTTTCTTTTTCTCCTACTGCGTAGATGAGCGCCTTGATAAAAGCTGACAATCCAGAAAGAGTTATTTTCTCCTGATTTCCTGCTGCTATTTAAGCTTCAGGAGGATAAGATGTTCATTTTCTAAGGTGACTAAGGGTGGCTGGTTTTCCTCCCCTCCCACTTTTCCCCCCACCGCTTTCTAAATTGCCCTTGCCTGTCACAAGAAAGCTGGATGGAAGAAAGGGAGATTAGTCGTCACAGAGATTCAGAAAATCCTACCTACATTTCTACAAATAGATGGAGAGAGAGAGAAAGAGAGACACAGATAGAGAGGGAGTGAGAGAGAGAGAGAGAGACAGAGAGGGAGGGAGGGAGGGAGGGAGAGAGAGAGAGAGAGACAGACAGACAGACAGAGGGAGGGAATGTGGTCAAGAATCAGTGGGGTTGAGCTACAAATCAATATATACCAAAGACAATGAACTTTGACTCCCTTTTAGGGTAGCTCCACTACACATAGACAGCTGATGGTTCCCTCCAGACTGATAAAAAGTTCCTCTCTGACTGTGTTGGGTCAGCAATCAGTCATGACCTCCTTAATATCACTTGCCCAATGCTTTGGTCCCAGGTATTCTTGACTCTAAAGAGGCTTCTGCTTATTGACGGCACAGCATTATGACTTCCATCAGGTAAATGTTTTTCTTGGACCCAATCACCAGTAAAGAAGGAGGCAGAGGAAGCAGCAGTGTAATCACTATCTGGATG